TATATGACTCAATATCTGTGAGGCATTCAGAATGGGCTAGCACAGATTAGCGATGTATAAATATTGTTTCTTTCCATAGAAACTTTCTTGTTTAATAAAGGAAACACATTTCTCCAATGCACTATCGATTCCTCAGCGCTGCTTTAGAAAACGAGCACAAATAGTAACAACATACTCTCCCTCACTCCTTTTCCACATCTTATTTAAATGTGTGACTCACTTGCATTTTCCACTTTTACCTATCCTGCTCCTGGGGCGGGAATGACAAATACAACTAATTGTCCTTCCTAAAACTGGAGCCAACATCTGAAGTCAGATGGCAAGTCTTTGTTTTATCTTTCCTTTTCATGAAAGAACAATAGTTTCAAATGATAGTTTAAGCATTCTTAGCAAAAAAAAAAAAAGTCATACAGCTACTTGCCAGATGTCTCTGATTAATTTTCCTGTGTTCCACCAGACATTCAGCATGAGCCTATAATTTTGCTCTGCCAGTGCTGAAGTTTGCTAAATGATGTCTCTACATAAACAGAAAACTTAATTTCAGTAAAAGGTCTGACCTCTGGATGTGTGGTTGTCTCCGTGCTTAAGGCAGGTTGGAGATGGACAGAAAAGCTATCTGCTCTTTTCCCTGTCCTTCTTTACCACTGATATCCAGTCCTCAGCCTTCAGAAGCACTATTTGTGACACATATGTGACCTTCCATATACACCACAGTTTTGGCCATCAGATAGATCAAATTCATTCTCCATGTCCTTTCCTCTCAGTCAGAGCTCTGAGGTTGCAGCTCTTAGTGACAACTATGCAATGGGCAAGCTCAGCTCAGCTCCACATGGAAGATGCAGGAAGCACCATTGTTCTTATTTCCAGTCAACTGGGTATATCATCAAAAAGTAGACTGGTGCCCAAACTGGTCTGACTAGAGGCCTTTTTTTTTTTTTCTTTTCATTTTGCAGGCAGATCTGTAAACACTAGAGCAGGACTGCAGAGAAGAAGAACTGGTTTCAAAATCAAGAGTCTTATATTCCAATCCTGGCTCTACCACCTTTCATGGTGTATTCTATAACTCCCCTGCACCTGTTTCTGCAATCTCCAGGAGGGTAGAATGAAATAATGTTTAATTTTCTTCTAGTTCTAAAGTCTTCTGATGTTCACCTTATTACATTTAAATCAGAGATCAGAATATTTGCTAGTACTCTGACTTGTCATGTGATTTTATAATAATGCAAAAACGCTGAGTGCCTATAATAGAAACAGGCTACATGTCTGCACAGCTATATGCTTTTGAAGATCTAAAATGGTCCACAGGCACAAGGCCAAGTCACTACAAAAGGTTATGAAGATTCCAGTGCAGCTTCCCAGCAATTCCATTTAGGGCCCACCTCAATATAAGAGTCATATTCTTATTTTCTGTGGCTTCATAAAATTGCACACTGGTCTTACTTTGTCCATAAAGTATACCCAAACTGCACTAGATCATAATTCTCATTTCACGCCATAGCAGTTGCCATATAAACCATATAGTCTAGAATTGCAATATCTAGTTCATCAGTCATGAGACATGTGGGTATTTAATTTTCCAATGAATTAAAATTAAAAATCCAGTCCCCTAGTTATAGCAGCCAAATTTTTAATTACCTTGTAGCCAAATTTGGGTTTTGGCTACCATCTTGTTGAATACAGATTACAGAAAATTTCTGTCACTGCAGAAGTTTCAACTACACAGCACTGAACTACTTTAGAACCAGATCCTAAAAAGTGAACCTGAGAATTTTGTGAGACAAATGCCCAGATTCCCCAGTACCATTAGAATACCATTATTGTTTCTCTATATAAAGAACAGAGGTACAAGTACATAGTTTAAGTTATTCCCTTGGACACTAACTGTCTACTTGATGGGTACCAGACAACAAAGGTGGGATGAGCTGGGGGCATCCCTGAAGCTGAAGCATGTTACTCATCATTCACAAGACATCTGATCACAGGAGACTCAGAAAACCACACACTGATGTTCATGAGTTAGAGTTTCTTGTGAATTACTGAATCTGAATCCTCAAACTTGGAATCTGTCATTCTATCAAATTGTGTACTCTGCCATCTATCAGGGCTTATATTGCATAAAAAAATATTAAAAATCATGTTGATTGTGGGAGACTTGATAGTCTCCCCTCAGTTTCTTGCTCTGTGATACTTACTAGAGACATTCATTCCTTTTGACAAAATTACTGAAACTCCATCCAATGGCTTTCTGTTCCAGTGTGAAGGGTAAATTTTATCCAAAATGTAGTTGATACATATGTAGTAGGAACAAGACTTAATCTTAGATTCAGCTAGTAAAGTTTATAAAGTTTGACAAATAAATCATGAGAACTAAGAATAAACAGAGAAGTCATTTTGACTGAGGTTCTTAAATTCTCTAATATCTAGCAAGCCCTGCTTGATAGAGTAGCCAAACCAATACATAATGTGCATAATCCTTTTAGCGGTGGAAGATGCTCCCATCTTCTTAATGCTCTAACTTCTAGAAAATTGTTCCTTACAAAATTTTGATATATTGCATAAAAGAGATATTAAAAATATTCAAGGTTTACATTTGTTTTTTCTTCCGAATTAGAACTTCTTGGAAATGAAAAACAAATTGTTAGAAATGAAAAACGAAAAAAATTAAGTCTCTGAATTGATGAAATTAGCTGTGTTTAAGCAATTATTTCAGAGAGACATAATTATACTTTTTTCAAGGGAAAGTGTGGTACATATCAGTCAATGAAAAAAGATTGACTCCATATTCTGTTTTTTTAATATAGAAGCACAAGGCTCTGAGAAAGCAGATGAAATGTTTTGGGGCATGAATGATCTAGTCTGCTCTTTTTAGGACCAATCATTAAGAAACAAATTAGTTCATTTCCTCATTCTGACCTCAACACAGACTGGTACCCACGTGGTCTGCCTTTAGGGTGAGAACAGTCATTGATAATCCTTATTCAGAAGCTATAATGTCTTTCCTGTGTCCCTCACTAGACAGAAGAAAAGAAATGCAGTTTGTCTCAGAAATTGACAGCATGTAATTACTGATTTTCTTTGCCTGGTTATAAAAGAGCTAATAAAGAAATTCAAAGAAATATGCTTATCTCAGATTATTTAGCACCAAGAAAATGGTATTTTGTCTCAAAATAAGCATAACTCTTTGAACAAAGTAATCGAACAAAATCTTCATTCAAGAGGAGAAATCTAGTGGCCTATGTAAGGATAGGGTCAAAGAAGATAAATTGCTACTAAACTCTCTGACACATTGTCCTACATATGAAAGCATATTGCTAGTCATAATATATTTATGTACATATGTAGCATAATGAATAATATACAATATTACTATAAGTTCAAATGTCTCTGATATATCAAAAAGTAACACAGGATGCTGTTCAAGTTTGAAAAACAAGTGCAATTTTGTGACAGCTAAAATTTCTGAGTTCATAGCATTAAAACAAGTATTACTTTTAAAGGAGAGTAGATAAGATCTTTCTAAACCAATTAATAATAAAACATTTGGCTTAATAAAACTTTCCTGAAACCTAATATTAATCATATTTTTTCAGCCATAGAATATTATGATTAATAATCCAATATGACTAGTTTCCTTAACAAATATTTATTAATAATTTCATATATGCCACCAACTGCTGTCAACAAATTGATGAGTTAAACCCCCCTTTGTAATTTTGTTGTCAAAATAAATCTTTTATTTGCTTAGGTTGAGTGTTTTATTCTGATTTATATTACTTGTGTCTATGAATAAATTAAAATTTGATTTTATTTCACAGCTCTTGCATTTTGCCACAGTGATCCAGGCTTAGCCACAGCAATAGTAAAGCAAAAGATCTCATTTCAGTTAATGAATATTTACTTATTTAAAAACCATGCAAAAGGAGAATCCTAACTCATATTTGTAATCAATCTTTCCTGGTCAGGAAAATAAAACTTAAGCCAGAAAAAATATATACATGCATATACATATTCATATACACACAAAATTGTTGTGATATTTATATGTTCTTTTAAAATTTCTAATTTTTGCTCCAAACATAAATGATAAAGAAATCAAAATGCTAATCACCTTTAATTGACCAGTAAGTGCTGTGTACATGTGTTTACATTTCACACTGTACCCCATAAATATGCACAATTATGTTAACTAAAAAATTTTTAAAGAGAAAAAATTCTAACTTTTAAAATGCATTCTAGTTTTTAATTGTTCCCTCTTCCTAAAATGTTCTTTCCACTTAGTCTCTACTTGGTTGGTTTGACCTTTATATTTCAGCTCAAGGTCACCACCTCAACCAGGCCTTCATCACAATTCTGCTCCTCTTTCCTGCTTCCTTTCTTTCCCCCTCACCCTCAGCACAACCCATTATACTGCTGGTTTCCATCACAACATTAACCCAATTAATAATTATACATCTCTTATTTGTTTCTGGGTATACAATCTCCCCCACAAAAAAAGGATCTGGGAATATTTATTTTAAGCAATCAACACAGTGGCTAGCAGAGAACAGTGCTCAACATAAATGGTATAGCGAATGAATGAAGTCAGCCTCCTTTTAACTACTCAGAAGTGGTTTTTGCTATACATATTCATATTTTATTGTGATTTGTGTACATTTTTAGGTCTACTCTAAAAGAAAAGAAGTATAGACTTCCTAAACCTACCTCCTCACTCCTCCAGGGATTGTAAGATAATGGAAAGGGCTTTTAGTAAACTCAACAACTCATTATGTCTGCATTTATGTCTGTATACCTCAAAGTCCACATAAAGTGCAATTTTTGCTTTAAAGAAATGTTCTACTTAATGAGAGATACTTTTGTAAAACAAAACCATTTGAGAATCCCCTCCAGCCCCACATCTGAGAGTTTACATGCTCTTCACCATTCAAAAGCCTCCATAGTTATCACTCTGGTCCTTCTTAACATTAAGGCCATCTGAATTAAAACGGCATGGAACGTCTTACCTGGAGTCCTTTCTGACTCTCGCTTTCTCAAAGGAAAACTCAGGGGGCTTGTTGAGGTCATAGGTTCGGGTTGTTGGCTCTGCAGACACCCCAGCCTTTGCTCCCCTTCTGCTATGGAGAGAGACCAATCCCGAGGTCTTCCGGTGGACCTCAAGAGGCACTTTATCCACAGAAGCCTGGAGTGGGCTTCCTCCCTGCATATGCACCACATCCTGAAGCTTGTTCAGCTGGATGCACTTGTTCTGGAGCTCCTCCGTGAGCTCAGCAATGGCCACGGTCTGTCTCGACAGCTGTTCCCGCAGCTCCTTCAAATGGTACTCCCGCTCTTGAATCTCAGCATCCTTCCTCCTCAGCTCTCTCTCCAGCTCCGTCACCTTGCTCCGCAGGGCATCAGTGCTGAGGTTCCCGGTGTGGCCATCTGGATGCTTGGAATGTTTGGGTTTCACTGAACCATTTCCCATGTTGCTCAGGGACCTGAGACGAGGAGGCACAGAATCAGGAACAACCAAGTGAGGTTTCATTTTCCAACAGTCCCCACCACCCCTCTCATTCTGTTCATAAATAGAAACACACAGCATTCATCATCGTTCAATGAGCAACAAATGTCCCCATGCATCCAGAATCGAAGCTAGTGATAGTTTCCTTTATCCCTGCATGAAGAGAAGCTGGCATTTGGGTTCACTCTTCCCCTTTCCTTTGCAAGCACAAATATGGCACCTAAGCATTCTGTTGTTCTCTTTGGGCATTCTCTGGATAGCTGTCAAAAGCATCCCAACAATATTGCTATTTGGATGTTAGCACAGCAAAGATAAGATTCAAAGAATCAGCCACAGAGTCAGAGGCTTGGGAATGTCACAACTCTCCAGCTCCCTGCATGGCTACAGTAAGAAGGCTTGCCCAAATTTAGAATACAGCACATCTATTCCTCCCATGCTCCCCCCATCCACATTATCAATCAGCATCTTTATATCAGAGAAAACATTCAGCATTTGGGTTTTTGGGATTGGCTTACTTCACTTAGCATTATATTATTCAACTCTATCCATTTACCTGCAAATGCCATGATTTTATTCTCTTTTAATGCTGAGTAATATTCCATTGTGCATATATACCACATTTTCTTTATCCATTCATGTAATAAGGGTATCTACGTTAAAGGGGAGGGAGAGGAAGGAAGGGGGCATAGGGATAGATAAGACCATGGAACGAGAAGGATATTATTACCCTAAGTTCATGTATGAAAACATGAATGGTGTGACTCTACTTTGTGTACAACCAGAGATATGAAAATTTGTGTTTTATTTGTGTAATTGCATCCTGCTGTCATATATAACAAATTATAATACATTAAGTTAAATAAAAGAATAACAACACATCTGCATTCCTCACAAGGTGGAGGTTTTATTAGTGACACTGGCACACACCTGTAATCCCAGCAATTCAAAGCCAGCCCCAGCAAGGTATCGAGGACCTAAGCAACTCAGTGAAACCCCTATCTCTAAATAAAATACAAGAAATGGCTGGGAATATGGACCAGTGGTTAAGTGCTCCTGGGTTCAATCCTCAATACAAAATAATAATAATAATAATAATAATAATAATAATAATAATAATAATAATACTGCTGCTCACTGTTAACAACTTCTGGATTGTGGTCCTTAGAAGGAAACAGAGGCATGAGGATTCCTCTATATCTTTTACTTTCTGCCCTAAAGTTAGGTTGTCCAAAAAATGATGACCTATGGTGCCAGGTTCTCGCCTTCTCCCACTAAGAATATGCTCAGTGTAAACCCCAAAGCAATCACTAATCCAGTGATTAGGAAGATCAGGGGTTATGAAGGATGTGATTAGGAAGATCAGGGGTTATGAGGGTTGATTTTAATTGATTGAGAATTTTTTTTAGTTCAGTAACTATGTATTTATTTTAACATTTATTAGAAATATAAACTATTGGCATTACAAATTTATATTACTTCAGTGGAGGCTAAATTTATTATTTTAGGTTTACTGAGCCAATTCAATGAAAATAAAAATAAATCATCTGTAGGTAATAAGCACATATGAACAAAATCAAAAAGTATAACTCAAATAGATGAAGTTTAGGAAATAATGCTCTGAAGAATTGCCATAGGTTTAGACCTTTTTAGGTACCTGGTCAAACTTCATATTTTTGTAGAATTTTTTAGAGCCATAATCTGCAATTTTCGATAGCCATAACCGAGAAGCATTATAACACTTATAAACTAAGCCTGAATTACTGTTGGTTATCTAAAATAAAGAAACAGATTATAGCAGCACAGTTCACAATAGGAACCAACCTAGATGTCCTTCAGCAGATGAATGGATAAAGAGAATGTGGTATATATACACAATGGAATATTATTCAGCATTAAAAGAGAATAAAATCATGGCATTTGCAGATAAATGGATGGAGCTGGAGAACATAATGCTAAGTGAAATTAGTCAATCCCAAAAAAACAAATGCTGAATGATTTCTCTGATAAGGATGCTGGTTCATAATATGTTGTGGGGAGCAGGGGTGGTGGGGTGAAAGGATTAAATGAACTCTAGATAGGGAAAGGGGAAAAGGGGAGGGAGAGAAAGGAAAGGGGTATAGGGGTAGGAAAGACAATGGAATGCGATGGTCATCATTACCCTAAGTACAGGTATGAAGACATGAAGGATGTGACTCTACTTTGTGTACAACCAGAGATATGAAAAATTGTGCTCTATATGTGTAATGTGAATTGTAATCCATTATGTTGTCATATAAAACAAATTAAGATTAAAAGAATGATTTAAAAAAGAGAGCAAAAAATGAGACAGACAATTTTTGTCCCTCATAGAATCTGGGTTCCCAGTAGTCATTGAAATACATTAACTTTCAAAGAATTGCCTCAATATGTTGTAGAGATATAACCGGTTCTTCTTATATATTAAAAAATATATAAAAAGGTTGAGGAAACTGGAATTCAAAAGAAGTGGCCCTGAAAATAGTTAAATCTTGAATAAGCAATCAGAAGATGTGAGACTGGGACATGAGAATAAACTTAAATGAGATTCTGAATTACAGGCATATAAAAGATGCTCTCAAAGGTATCTTAAATTAACATTTGCACAAATTTTGAACATGCAGCAGGGAAGCATCTTTTAGACAGTTTTTTCATTCATGGACAAGCATTCTTTGGCCAAGGAGGAATATGAAGACAAATGAAATTTTGTATAAAAAAAAATAAAAGCCAGCATAAACACATTTACATGTAATACTAAACTAACAACTCATTCTTCATTCATGGCACAATTGTTTACTAAGATCTAACTAAGTGTCATGTTTGGGGGCATATCCTTTTATGGATTTACAGTCAAACTTGACAGAGAAAACAATTTTAGCATTCTAAATATGAAACAGCTTAGAATCATTTTTTCTCTATGAAAATAACATTTAAAAAAATCTATGCCAATCCAATAACTTTACAAACATGAAACACAATTAGGTAGAGGGTGTTAAATTCTCCCCAAACACCAACTATTCTCTGGTTTTAATGAAGTCAGTTTGGAAGCTGTACAAATCTTTCAAGCTATTTAGAATTTCAAAGAGGGGTGAAATGAGAGTAGCTAACTCATCTTTCAAGTCACTAATTTGAGATAAGTAAATTACTAAGTGGCTCAATACTAGTCTGAGTTCTTCTTTAGTTTACCTGCTTAAATTCTGTTGTCCCTGAAGCCAAGGTTTCAAGTCTCTGGCTTCATAAAATCTAATTAGATTCATTCTGTTTCCTATATCAGTCACTCAGATAAGATATTTCTCAAATATGGATTGCTAGCCACAAGGTGAATTGAACGTCAGGGTGTTGCTTCATCAATCTAGCAACTACAGGTTATTAAAATCATTCTTACATTCAAAAAGCAGTACATGATGTAACAAGAAATGGCTTTAGAGATGAAAATCCAAATTTAACATGAGCAATACAATCAGGCTACTCAAGGTTCAAAAATATCTGCCCTCTCCCAATAGAAATACATTACTTGGAATCTTTGATTTAGTCTTCTTTTCTATAAAATGCATATACTTGAATCCATCTCATAGAGTTATTATGAAGATTGCATTTGTAAAGTCTCTGATGCAATTTATGACATCTAGTAGACATGAGGAAACGAGAAGCTCTCTTAATACTATGGGACCAGAGACAGGCATTAATGTCCTGGTTTGAGAAGAGTCCAGGGTGATCATTTCCAGGTGGGGCAGAAGTCTAGTAAACAAGATGCCTTCCACGCAAAAAATCATTAATGATTCAAATATCACTTTGGGAGAAGAGGAATTTGAATCTGGCTGAATTGCATCTTCCACTGAGAAAAGATGCCATTCTATATCAACATCCTAGGTAACAAGCCCCATCAAACCATGGAATCTAAAAAACATTGTAAATGACAAGCCTGTTCCAGAACTTCAAGGACTCCTTGGGCTTTGCATTCCTTCATGGAACAGCCCCTAGTTATTTTTTATAGTGCTGTGAACTTCTTAAATCAAAAGATCCACCTAATCATCTTTTTCTTTTTTTTTCTGGTACTGGAGAATTGAATCCAGGAATACTTAACCACTGAGCCAAATCCCCAATACTTTTTATTTTGGGACACTGTCTTGCTAAGTTGAGCAACACCATCCTCCTGCCTCAGCCTCCAGAGTCACTGGGCTTACAGGCATGCACCACTGCACCCAGTCCTACTTAATTATCTTTGAAGGTAACAAAGAAACCTGGTTCTCTGGGAAGGGAGTACCCTTCTGTAAACAGGGTTGGGAAAGGGGAATAAGGAATAGAATGAGCAGTGACATATAGCCTGAACAGAGCAAAACTGTAGTTTTGTGAAAATTTTATTATTACATTAATTTGCTCACCATTTAGCAAATGCAATCCACCAAATGGTAAGAGGAGACATCCAAGGAAAGTGATAGCTCCTGTGAAGGCCCTTGCCCTCCCATTTATGCCTGGCAGTAGATAGGGGAGGAACTGGGCTTCCATGTCTGTTTTTACCTCTAGCACTAAAGTAGTTTGAAAGCAAAATCCTGGCTCTGATCTAAATAATACCTGTTTCTTTCTCTACCCATCTGGAGTCTGATATAAATACACTTATATGCACACACTGGTTTATATATGCACGTAGCTACTTGTTTATCTGTAAATATGGGAGTTGGTATAGTGCTGACTAAGTCTATGGAGCCATTGCTCCAGTGCAGGCACTTTCACTTGGTTTTTCTATGCACTGGGGCAAGGTACTGGGCTTCAAACCAATCACAGAAGAGAGACACACTGATAGTTGCACAGACAGATAAAACAATGTTGCAAATCATTTAGGGTTGTTTGGGGGTTAAATGAGATAGACCACACTAAGAATTTAGCACAATATCTGGCATATAGCACTTGTTTAATTAATATTGGACACTGTTATTATTACTAACATGATTTATCCTTAAAAAT